CCAAAAAGTTTTATGGCTTCTACCAAGAATTTTCATGTTCTATAAATTATAGGAATATGTCAGGTGTTTTATACTTCAGTGAACTGGTTAGCATTTGATCTTTGGTTTTAACGTGATAATGTACAGAGAAGTGCTTTCCAAGTTCTCCCCTGTTCTAGGAGGGGAGAAATCAGAGTTCTTAATATATTTTTTCTATTTTTTTAAATATTATCTATCTCACTGTAATAAACTTTCTACCTTAAGTAAGATATTTGATTACTTTCTTTTTTGCATAGTATAAATGCATTTATAGCTGCCTCTAGTTATCTGTCTATACTAAAAATCTAACTTTAATGAACAGGAGTCTAAATTTTTGCTCTAGCAAATTGCATGTTATCGAGCGTTTGCTATGTAAAGTGTGACTTGATTGAGTGAAGCTTATTTTCTTGAAATGCTAAATAGAATGAAGTATAAAATAAACAAGTATAATTAGGACATGTTAAAAAATTGAACTGAAACTAAAATATATTCTTTGTAGTCTTAGTTATCTGTTTGAATTGCTGCATTCTTTTAAACTCTTTGGCAGAAACTATGACCATATGCAGTAGAGTAGAAGGTACAATACTGATGTTGTACAAAGTTGGTTTAAACAATATGTGGCAATTATTGTACTTTAAATTTATTTAAATAATTTAATAAGATCCTCAGTATTAATGATTTATGTTGATGTGTTGGTTTTATTTTTTTTAAAAAGATACAAGAGTAAAATCATTTTATTGCTTTTAATTTGTTATCCTTTGCTGCCCTCTTCAGCTCAGATGATGTACATCTTTGGAGCAAGGTAAGTGGAAATAATCCTGTAAAGAAAATCAAGTTCTTTAGGCATGGCATATTTATGATGCATTGCTGAAAGTCTGAATTCTGAGCCTGATAGTTGTAGATCTGATTAATTTGAGCAAGATTTCTGTCAGTGGCAGATTGTACAACTGTATGAAATTGAGTTTTGAAATTGGACAGTTAAGTGTAATTGTGAAAAATCAAATGTGGTGCTACCATGTAGTGTTGCTTATGCTACTCCAACTTCTAGCTCAACGTTGTTACAGCTGAAGGTCATATATAGTTGTAGCTTCTGTAACAAAACCTGCCATGGTTGTGTAATCTGACACTTTTCAATTCCCTTTCCTGCCTTCCCTAAACTTTCTTCCTATCCCTATGCTAGTACTAATAAAATAAGGCACAATGAGGATTTTAAAGTTTCTGTCATATAAATAAGAACATTGAAGGCAAAGATAAAAGAAATCACCTGGATGTCAAGGGGAAGTAACTGATAATCTTGCCCTCCCTGGTATGGGCTACATTAGAAAGACACTGCAATATAATTTGGTCAATACATTTTGCAGAACACTAGAATAGAGGAGATGTTGGCAGATACTGCCTGGGATGTGGTTACAGAATTTGGGAAGGGGTGCACTGTGCTTTTTGTCTTTTTTCTTTGATAATGTACCTGCTGACTAATAAACTAGTACGCGGCTTGCAGTATATTTTAGATTTTGCAAAGAAATCTAGGAATGAAATGGAGATTGTAATTTGGAGTCACTGATTAATGATCTATATAAATTGGGTACAGCTTGTGAGGTGCAGGTTTGTATTATACTACCATTTTATTTTGTGTGAAGGTTATGGTGAGAGGATATTTTTGTCTTATGCCTCTATCTTTCTTCATTTAAAAAATGAAAAGGGAGGGCAGGGAGAAGAAAGAAAGGGGATCTCTTATTTCTCTCATTATGAAATTAATTTTGAAGGACAGTCAGAGGACTGAAGTGATGATGATCTGCACATGAAGTAGTTTCTAGAGTTACTTTTGCTGTTCTCCACAATGGAAGAGAGATATATTTTGTTGTCTCTGATAAATTTATGAGTAAGGACATGTATTAACCTTCTATTAAAAAAAAGCTAACTTGGTAAAGAAATAGATACTTAGCATTAGAAATTATATGACATATTCAGCTTTTTTCTGTAATCCATCCTTTTTGGTGTTCTCTGAGATTTGATGCAGGAGAACTGTGTTCTGACTTTATTGGATTTTATTGTAGTTGTAGGTTCTTCTGTGTGTTGATTTCTCGTAGGAGGATGAGGGCAAAAGGGCAGAAGAAAACTGTAGGTTAACTGTCCACAGTCTCTTGGGTGTTGGTAGAAGGAGAAGTGATAGATAGGGTATTCCATTGCATGTTTGATATTTTCTGGCATTGTTTATCAATTTTTCATTAAAAATTGAAGGTGAGGGTTCCTTTTGTCATTACTTAAAACAAAGCACTTTGACAGTGGGAATGCATCTCCCTCTAACTTCTTTCAGTTTGCATTCTAGAATCATGGCACATAAAGCAAAATTCTTGAAATAGTTAAAATCTCAGGTTTTAACTAAAGATGATGTAATTTCCTTAAGAACAGTCAAGTGGATTTTTGAAGTGATGTAGTTTAGATTAAAATATTTGGAGGCAGGATGTGGGGGCTTTTGGGTAAATGATTCTTTTCCTCTGGAGTAAAATCTATGTGTTCGTCAGTTTGTGTGACTGGTGGAACATGTGCTAAATTTAGTGAAATGCAGTTAATTTTTATGGACACATTTTGTCATCCAAAATTGCACTTATTTACAACAGCTGTAGCAGAGCATGATAAATAGTGTTCTTTTTTTTTTTTTTTTTACGTTTTTGCTTCTTCCAAAATAAAAAATGTCAGCCTTTCAGTAAATTAGAACATAATTGTAGCAGATTCAGGAGTGACGCTGGTTAATATTTGCTTTAAGCAATGTCTTACGATATCTAACTTTTCTGTAGAGTGATACGTAAACAGAACACTAGAGTGTCTGCCTTACTGCCATACCTCAGAAAGCATTTCTGTTTGCGATATATTTTTTTAAGAGAAACCTATTATTTACAAAAAAAAACTTCCTTGTATTTCTTAGGGAATTACTGTGATGTGGTAAAGAATAGTACTTTCACAGAGAAATGCTTTATTATTTTGAGAATTCAATTTCAGAAACTATTTGTCCTTGCTTGCTTCTTTTGGCTGCAATGTACGATTATTCTGTCTTACCAGATAACAGAACTGTTGTACAAGGATGAACGTTATTGCCTGACGCCTCCGGGACCAACTGGTAGAGTTTCAATTTCTATGATTGTAACTTATCCGCAAATCCGTTCATCTGTGTAATGATGGGTTTGAGGGATTACAACAGTAAACACTGATTGCTTCTTTTTGAAAGTGAAATTTGAAAACATGTTGGGTAAAATCCTGATTCGAATAATCAGAGCATATTTTGTGAGATCCATGTGATCTTTTTTAGAATTATAAGGAAATCTTGCTGATAACAGTTTATTTTTCTAAATTTATTGACTGAAATAGAGATTTAGAATGAGCACAGTAGGAGTGCTGAAATACTAAAAAAGAAAAACAAAAAACCAAACCAAAACAAAAAAACAAAACAAAAACCAAAACAAGAAACCAACCAACCAAAAAAACCCCGGTCTTTCACCCTAGTTTTATGTTTAGTAGCTCTTCTGATTTTGTGAAACAAAATGTTACTTAATATCCCACATCTTCTACTTTGAAATAAGTGTGTTTTTTTGTATAATCTGGTTTTCATAAAACAGGGGGTTTTATTCCTCCCATCGGGACTGGAGGGACAAGGGGGCATAGGGAAAGCTAACCTTTGAGAATACAATAATTGATGCTCTTCTCAGCTACAGGACCCCATATATTTTTACACGTGCATAGATAAGAATCTTAACACTATTTGCTAAAATCTGTTAATCTTGATTTTCATTGGCTAATAGGCAACTTCTTCAGTATTAGCTGATCTAATGGTTAAAATATTTTTTGTTTTTATATTAATATTACAATACTTAATGGAATGGAATATAATGGTAATGGAATATAATGGGTAAAATATACAGAATAAATATGCCAAGTGTTAGAAATCTGTTTTTTCTTTTGAGCAATGACAAAATATTTGTGGCAACTATTTGGGGTAGTGGGCAGGAAAGGGGGGTAGGCCTTGGGCAGTACCACTTCTGTCACACAGTAGTGGAAAAAATAGATTGAAGTAAGATTCTGTACTGAAAAGCTGTCACTAGGTCTGAAAATAATTAATATTCCTTTCACTCACCAGTTAGATATGTGCTCCCAAACCACATAATCTCTATGCCTCAGTGATCATTGTTGCCATTTCAGAGCCTCTCATCAGGGTGACATCTCACACCAAAATGATTTCTTATAAATTAATCTTGATAACATGACAGTCTCGGTAATTTTAGTGGAATGCTTTCTCTTGTTTTTTTCCACAGAAGCTGTTGGCTATTTTCTTTATCACTTGATTGACAGCATGAGTGACTCGGAGATACAGGCCAAGGAGGAGCGTTTGAGACAATACTTCCATCAGCTGAAGAAGATGGTACCATTTCATTTTTTGCTACATAATGCCTGTCCTGCCTGACATGTATCTATTAGATTTGAAATTGCTGCTTTTAAGTACAACCAGACCAGTTCTCAATGACATGCAAGAGCTGGAGACTTGAATTACGTCTGAGATAATTTCTGTTAGACAAATTTCGGTTTGGTTGTGTTTCAAAACTCATAATTTTTTCCCTACCTCTTGGTACAGAATATAGTTATCCCTACAATCCTCTACAGCGGCATTTGCAGACTGCTGGACTCCTCTCAAGTTCCTGAATTAACTAAGGTCTGTGATTCTATAGCAATTACTTTGAAGCAAAAAAAGAGTATATGTACTCTGTTAATATATTCTCCTTTGCAAAATAAATAGCTTTATGCATTGATTATATGTAAGGCTTTTAATGTTCCCTTGATTTTTCACTGTTGAAGCTATTTTCATTTCATATATGAAAGTTTTTGAGGAATACATTTAATAAGTACTTTTTCAAGTCAATGCAATAATGCTGCAGAATACATATTTTTTTAACATTGGAATTATATAATTAACTTGAACGTTTTTAACATGATATGCTCACTTAGAGATTGAACTTTTTGGGGGGGGATTAGTGATATCTTTGCTTATTACATTTTAGGATGCAAGGTTATTGTCTCATAAAAAATTCCTGTCTGCAGACAACATTCCAGAAGTAAGTAAATTCACAGATAGCTATGCTTGTTCTTACTGAAACAATAATGTTTGGATATGGGTTTTAGATGAAGTATAATCACTAGCTTTCACATCATGGAAGTATATTAACATTATTTAAATTACCATTTGAAGTTCAGAGGTTACTTTCCAGGGTAGGAGTGAAGGCTATCCAGATTTTTCGCATAAACCTGATGCTTGACCTTGGAGTTGGCTGAGGTTTCATGCCTCAGTTTCCCTGTCTGGTAAATATTTTTTTGAAAGTTCTAGTTAGTTGACAGTGGTGGTTTGAGGCTTAATTCATGCTTATAAATTACAGTGATCCACTTGAGTGGCAGGAATCATATAAATCTATACTGCTTCTAATGGTGGAGTGTCAAGTCTTTGCATCTTTGATCTGAGCAGAGTGGAGATGGAAGAAGAAACAGGCTTCTGTTCCCTACTTCCCTGAACACAAAGAACCGAATACGAGAGAGATAGTAAAGTTGACCTTTGTAGATAGGATACCTAATGCTTTTTTTTACTGTATCTGACTCAAATCTTCAATTAGTCTGTACTACTTAAACAGATAAAAGCACCTTAAATGATTTATAAATTTCTTATACTATGAAAGAGGGGGATTATTTTGCCTGTCTTTTATTAAAGTGATTCGACAAGTTGTTTGGGGAAGGATGTTTTTGCAATTGATGTTCTTTCTGTTACCTCCATTTAGAGCGCTAAATCTGACGTGTCTGCGTTGGAGAGGAAACTAGAAAAGCGAAAAGCTGAAAACCAGCCTATTACAGATGTCTTGAAACAGCTCATACTTGCTCTTTGTGAAGAAGAGGTATCTTAGGCAGTGCAGAGATAATTGGAAACATAGCTATATTTTTAAAGGGACATAAATGACTGTATTATGGAAAGACACAGTTAAGCAAAGACAAGTGCAGTGCTTGAGGTTTCATGGTTTGATGCTTATAAATCAAACATAAGTGCAAAAAGCAATTAAATCAAAAGGTTAACTAATTTCAGCAACACCTTGAATGGCATGTTTTGGGGTTGCTGAAGTTTGTTTACAATAATCTGCAAAGTGAATGATAGTAACAGCTGTGATAGGTTTATCATACATGCCAAATGTCCTTTCAAGCCATGGCTCCGGTCTCTTATATCTAGATTGTCAAGCAACTGATACGTGCACTAGTCATTTGCAATTCAAATATTACTAGGTTGTTAATGCAGGGATTGAAATTCCATTTTCCTGCAGGAGGAAAGCTGTTCTGAGATAAAGGGTCTCTTGCCTTCATTCGGCAGGCGTCCAGCTGTAGTTTACATTCATTTAGTGTGTGTCTGTAATTTGTGGGGTATCACGACACTTTTATTCAGTTTCTTGTTCAGTATGATCCTGCCTATAAAGCTGTATATATAGGAACAGTAATAGTCGTGCAGATGATAGCACAATATTCTCTGTTGCTAAGAATACAATTTAGAAAGAATGATTCTCAGCTGTCTGTTCTATGATTTTGCATATGAAATAAGACTAGAAGCAAACATCATTGTAAGTTCAAAGTGCTCAAATGTATGAATGGGAATGTATAAAAAAATAAGCTTTCTATGGGATCATTAAGTAGTTTTATTCTTTAGAAAGTAGTTTTGTTATGTGTTTGGCAGTGTACCAGGTGAAAATTGTTACGAATTCCGAATAAATAAGAACTATTTTGGAATTTGGGTTAATCATGTTTATGGTGTCTGTCTGGATTTAGAAAAAGAAGCCTTGCCTTAGAACATGCTAGAAATATAAACATAAAGCAAGCAAATGTATTTAGAAATCAACTCAAGTTAATATAAAAGATGTTTTGGAAAAATATTAATTTCTGCAAAATAATTTTCACTCTTAAAATTTGTTAAAGCATTGCAGCACTGTTTTCAAATGTGATCTTACACTACTAAAAGCACTAAAGCAGTCATGTAACTACACACTGAACATATAAGAATCATAATGTCATATTGACTTTTCCTCTAGTTCACATCTTTGCTTTGTTCCTTTTTTAGAATATGCAAAAAGCCCTTGAAGTGAAAGCCAAATACGAACCGGACATGGTTGTCGGTGGCTATGCAGCCTTAATAAATTTGTGCTGTCGACATGATAATGTAGAAGAGGCAATGAACCTGAAAGAAAAAGTGTAAGTACACCGGCACTGAAACATGTCAGAGAGATTTATGCTGATACGCAGACCTTGTTGAATTAAATAGGTTGAGTATTTACCCCCTCATCCATGTTTAATTAGTTTTCCCCACCAATGTGTGTGCATTTGAAACAGCCAAGGGTGTGGTTTTTTGAAACAAAAACTTGCTTTGTATAATTGAATGTCAGAAATAGCTACTTTGTATGGTCAGTAATATTTTTTTTAAAGGTAAATTACTATGTAGTTCTGGTGTTGCTATTGCTATGCAATAAATTGCTATGTAGGATGTGTGTTTTTTTTTTTTTTTAAACATGCATAGTGTCTAAATTGAAGTTGGGCTTAGTTTAAGGGGGGAAAAAAAAGTACCTGTATTGTGTGTTAGAAAGCTCCTAGAATGTGTTTAGAATATGCTGAACCTATATTGTCTTTAGAATAGCAGTATTTCTAAGTGACATTGTTTTAAGGTTCTCAACAAGCATCCTACTTTAAATTTTTATTTTCGGACCTTTGCATCTTGTGTTTGAGAATTAGCTCCCAGCTAAAACATGCTATGCATGACTTATCCTGCAGCAAGTTCTTACAGATCAGCTTTCTGTTTGCCCCTTCCCTTTTTTCCTTGAAAGCCTCTTTTTGGTCTGATGTTACAGGGAATATAGAGCAAGTTATGTGTTGCTTTCAGGTTCTCTGTCTCAGTGCACTCACAAACTATTTGCTTTGGTTTTACAGTAGGTTAGCAGGCAGGTGCTCGTTACACCTTGCTAGTGTTTGAAATTATGTGAAATGGTTGAGCTGAGTATCAAGAAATTTGCTGCTCTGCAAATAACAGTAGTGTATTGTTTTTGACCATACTACCACTCTCATATGATCCCCATGGTGAGCTTGCATGAAGTAAAATTGAGTCTTCTAGTGGAGCTTCACTGCAGAAGCATGTTTTTACTGATCTGCCTCAGGTGTAGCATAGTATTGCTAAGAACTGACTCTTTGAATTGTTACAAAAAGAAACAATAGAGAAGGAATTAATTTAAAACTTCCAGAAAAAGAAGAAAGCAAATACATAGCAGAAACTTAAAAATAGTAGCTTTTAACCTGTTACTGTCTGTGGATAGGTTCATATTCTTTATCAAAAAGGAATATAGCACTGCCCCAGCTATGTGGACTGATTTTTCTTTCCAGGCTTCTGGGGAATACCCTGTTTTATGCAATAACTACCAAATAAGTAATTAAAACATTTGGCTCTTTATAACTTTTGGGATTTGGGAGTGGGAAGGTTTGTGGATAATATTTTTAAATCACTTTTTAATGATGTGTCTTTTAAAGTCATCAGATTTTTCCTTTAATACTTATATCTTTTAGCTCTCAATGCTGCTGTTTCATTATGTAGTTTTAAAAATAAATCTTTAAACTGAGTCCAGAAAATGTGAGCTTCTGTTCATAGAATTCTTAATGTTTTAATTTCTAGCTTCCCTAAGAATTCACCTGTTGCTCTTGACACTGGAAAGTACGTAGCGTTGGTAGAAGTCTTAGGAAGGCATGGTAGACTAGAAGGTAATCCACTTGTTTTCCTTGTGTGTTTCTGCTATATAATAAAGGTATCTTGCCTCAAGAATAAAAATGTGAGTTGATATTAATGGTATATCATGTCCAGAAAAGTGCTTGAACATTTTGCATACAGATTTGCATGTGAATTCAACCAGAGATGCTTGGACAGTGCAGGCCATTAGTTTTAATGGATTGGCAAGCTTGTCATTTACATTTGCACAGCTCAATGCTTTTTGCATTTCTGCAGCTAGTTTTTATTAGCATTGCTGTTTGGATTGAGTTTGAAGATCATGACTTATGGCACAAATTGCGTATGTGCCTAGACTAATGGCTTTGTTTTTGCTTAAGAAGGTCTGAAGGCTGAACATAAAACGTATAAACATAACCTTCTTGTAAGAGCCAAGTATTGCAAAAATTTATTTAACTTCTTGTAAAGTATATATTTTTCTGTTAATATTCTTTTATATGTTTGCTATTGAATTTTAGAGGCAATCTGTCATACTGCCTGTAAATTTTGGCTTTTAACGAGTGTTCTGCAAACTGCATGTTATGTATTTCTACATGTTTGCATTAAGCAGTTAGCTCTTTAATTTCTGTCATTTAGTCTAATATAATTCAGTAATTTACAATATTTGGTTGATCTTTAAAAGAACTCTAGACCGTCATCAACTTTAAAAGGTGATTCTGAATATCGAGTTCTGTGAATTTGTAGAAGACTTAACAACACCGTAACAAGTGTTGTCCAAGCCTAGACACAAAATATTATTATTTTATATAAAACACTATACAGTAAAATACAAAAGCTAATGTAATTTTCTTTCTTGTAAGATATATCTTTGACATTTGTATTGGCCTCATTAAGCTTCCTATTACGAAAATAATAAACAAAGCCGATGTTTTCCAAATAATAATAAATCAGATCATGACCACCTCTACATTAAAGCAGTTTGAAAAGATTAGCTTGCTTTTAAGAGCATAAATGTCCCTCAGAAAATAAAACAGTTCATAAATGTAGCTAAATGTAAAGTGGTCAAAACATTCTGTCTATGCAATAATTAAGAACATTACAAAAATGCACTTATTCCATATACCAAAATGTTTGTTTCTGCCTTACTAATGAAGCTTAATGAACCTAATGTTTTAACGTGCAGTCTGTTAGAAAGCTTTCATTGGCTCTCCTTGGCTAATTAGTATCGACACAGCAAACAGGCCCTATCGGTATCAGACCATTAGTCTGGCTGTATATACAGTGTAAACATATCTTTATTATCTGGCCTCGTGACAAGCCATCTGCTGAAGAAACAATGGAGTGATTTAGCAGATGTTAGCATTGAACGATAAAAGCATCCATTTAGTAGAATCCTGCAGCTATAGGGCAGACTATACAGGGTTATGTGGTGCAGAGTGGGCACACAGTTCCTATCTATAATTTGTAGTCAAAGTTGCAGCAAAATGATAAAACCATGCTATTGTGGATTTATAATTGTAGTCTCGTTTAGAAATGCAAGTAGTAATTAACTTGAAATCGGCATTATACACCAGAATTTACATTCCTGCTGGGTTTGAAATGCTGTTTTAATAGCAGTTTGTTTTCCCTTCATGAAATTACCTAACAGTCTTTTGTGTTGTTTCATTGTAGATGCTATTGACATTCTAACAGAGATGAAAGAGAAGGATGTTCCTATCTCAGACAGAACAGTTGCATCTTTTTTCCGCATTCTTAATGCCGCAGCCATGCGAGGTGAAGTTGAAACAGTGAATCGATTGCATGAGACCATTGTGAACTTGGGGTTGGCAGAAACTGCTGCCCTTCATTCCCCTCTGATTACAGTTCACCTTGAAAAGTAAGCGATGTTTTGTTTCATCTGAAGCCCAGTTATGATAGTGATATTTATTTGTGTTATATGGCCTGTGTATGCTATATACAGCTGCACATTCATGTCTGAAAGTGCTCACACACATAAACATGCACACATGCATGCACATATAATACTTAAGTGGTCTAGGAATAGTAATGAACAAATGTTTTCTTAAGTTAGGTAAGTCTGTTTTCATTGGTTACACAGCATGTCATGGTCTCTGGGAACAACGGTTGTGTTTTATGGACACATCAGAGATGAAGTGGCTATATATTGGAATATGCTTATGAATTGGTTGGTTCTAAAGTCTGTTTGACAAGATAGCTATTCAGAGCATGATAGCTATATTCTCAGCTCCTGTGGTTAAGTAGTATATGTTTTCCCATCAAAACAGAGTTATTTTGCTGTGCTATCCAGTACGTCACAGGTAAGTTGAAAGGAGGTTGTTGAACACTGGATTTTTAATTCATGTAATTTAAATAATTTGATGTTATTGTTCTGTTGCTGAACTGCTATTGCTATGTTGCTGAACTTAAAATTCAAAGAAAGTAGTCTGGTTTGTCTATTGGGATTTTTTTTTTTCTTTTTCCATATATACTTTTAATTCTGTTTAGTAGAGAAAAGGAAGTTCATACATTCAGCCTGGCAGGAAGTATCTGAAATTCCATGTGTCATGTTCCTTTGCATAAATTTTCATTGCGAGGTGAAGGATATTTGAGTTAAGGTATGTTTGAACTATATAGCAATTTCTTACTAAAATTGAGCCAAGAATCCCTTTTCACTTCCTTTACCATATGCACAATCCTTTTATTTTTTTCTTATGTCATTTATGTAGTAGCTGGATTTTAATCTCTTGCAGCTAGGCTTGTTCATCAATTTCTTGCAGTTCAGTTCATGTGTATGAAGTGTTCTTGGCTTAAATATAACACCTATGAAATAAGATATTTTTTCATAGTATCGTGTAAGATGCCAAATAATGTTTCTGTTAATGTGTAGAGTTTTTTAGTTTTGAGTATTCTGCGTATGCAAGGTCTGTAACATTTTCTGTATTCAAAATTCTTGTCAAAAAGATGTAACTCTTGGTAGATGCATGAACAGTCTCTTCTCAAAATAGTATTTTAGTGTAGTGGTCATCAGTTAAGAATATAGCATGCATTTTTTCAGTCAGCAACACTGCCTTGGCTATATCACAGGACAAGGCAAATGTTTATGAAAGTAATTTAACTGCAATCATATGTAACTAATGTGTTGGAAAAATATTCAATACGCTTTGCAGTGTGCAGTAAGAGCAGCTGCATTTTACATGACTGCTTTATGCACGTTGACATGCAAGCTGTATGTGACGCTACTTGGGTTCTTTTCACTCCAGAAGTAGTATATGGTGATGTAAATAAAGATGTGATCATGTGTGGATGCAAAGGGAGACCGTAAAGAGTGTTATTTTAGTTTGATTCCACGTTCTTTTGGATTATAAATGTTTGGTAAAACTTTCTAAAGTTTTTTGTTTTTCAATAAAGAGACTCTTGATGAGACTAGATTTTTAAAGGAGAAAGTAGTTCCATACTGTGGAAGTATATGAATACAGTTACTTGCCTGTATAACTCTTAATTCATTTAATGTATATAAATAAAATGCAAAGTAAGCTAATTTCCTATGGTTTTTTTGCTGCCTTATGGGTGGAGAGACAGAAGGGGGATGCTTTCCTGCATTGTTTGCTTGGGAGGAATAATGGTATTTCACTGGGTTTTTTTGGTTTCTTTTTGGTTTGGGTTTTTTTTTGTCTTGGAGATAGTAAGAGTTTTTGAAAGTTAGGAGTGACTGAAATAAGTGTTTGTTACTTCTTGCAGCAGTAGTGCTTACTATTTGCCATCCTACAGTTCAAATACGCTGAATTGCTGTCATTTAGCTGCAGGTTGTCAGCATACCTCTGAAATTAGCTCTGTGATGTTCTTGGGTTTTTTTGGGTTTTTTTTTGTTTTTTGGGTTTTTTTTAAGCAGTGCTAGTGTTTTGTGTTCTTAGTTTATTAATTGCTTTTAAGGAATCTGGTTTACTTTTGAAGGTTTCTACAATTGTAGGTGTAAAATGTTTTCATCTACCCTTTTTTCTCTATACCCAGTCCTGAATATTCGAAAGTTCTTGTTAAGTCCTAGCAGTACAGCATGGAAAAGAAAAAATTGTTGATGATGAACAGTATAACTTGACAAAAGCTAACAAAATCTAATAATCTAGTAGAATGGACATGTTGCCTTTAGTATTTTGGGAAATATTTAACTAAAGTAACTGGAGAGTCAATTCATACTATCTTGGTTTTTCTTTTACCATGAATAAATTCAAGGGGAACCACTCCCCTGCTTTTAATTGTATGATTTTTATTAATGATTCTGAATAGTTTCTCAAGATGGTGAAATCACATGAAAAATAGAGACAGTCCATGCATGGAATCTTGGTCTGTCGTCCATGGTGATACAGCTGCTGTGGACAGTATGATAAAAATCTTACTACTTTCTAAAAGCTGCAAGGATATGAAGAGCTTGTACCTTTTCTTAAAACATATCTTACTTTTTGAACTGATTCTTCCAACTGTTAATAACTGGAAAAGGTTGTGTTACCTACACCATATAAAATTTCTTCTGATTTTAAGGATTGTAGTTTTGGCTTTTACCTTCTCTACCAACTGTCAGGGGAAGCCTATTTGAACATGAACCATTTTACAAACCTGAAAAGGTTTGTGAAGCTAACTTGCTCCTGTCCTGTATGATACTTTGATAATACCTATTTACAGGATGATAAATTACAGTAACTACTGATGAGTTTTTTTCATCTTCCAAGAAACCTGCACGAGCCAACTTTAGAACAAATAAGAATAGGAATACACATCTTAAAAACTTCATGTGGTTCCTGTCTTTTCATTAACAGATGTTTGTTTCTACTCTCCTTGAATAGTAACCTTGGAGAAAAAAATGAAACAAAATATCTTCAGCTTTGAAATTTACTAATTCTCTGTATCAGGAGTACTCTTAAGCAGAGGGAAGAAAATGTGCAAGTAAACTGTGAAAACCTTGTTACAGACTGTATGGACAAAATATTTTGTAGTTTTAAGTCAGTGAATGCAAACATTTAATATCTGTTTTTTAAATTATAAAAAGACTAAAGCTGGATTGTGTTTATTTAAAAATGGTCGGTATATTTTAATACAGCATTGTCCAGTAGAGCATTGTGCTGGTTTTTGATTAATCTTATATGATCCATTTTGTTTAGTTTCTTATGCAGTAGATACAGTATGAATCTAGTGCCTTGACAATTTTTCTTCTCTTGGTTTCACAGAGTTAAATTCAGCTGTGATTTTGTTTGAGATTATTCTGTAGCACATATAAGTTAGTTTACTTCCAAATTTACTTTTAAAAATAGGCATATTTTTAAATTAGGTAATATTTTTAGTGGGGAAAAAGTATCCCTAGTGGGGAGAGGTTTTTTCCTAGTTTTTAGTGGCTTTATTTCAAATATTTGTATTAAAACTCTGTATGTGTTGCAATGAAATTAGGAATTTTTGGCTCTCTTACTCCATTATTGCAATTAGGAATTTAGCATCGTCAGTGCCAAAGGACAAAAGCGTCTCATTTGCCCTATGGGGACAGGACAGTGATAAGATGATTTTTTGTCAAGGATCATTGGGTCGTAATTAAGTTACATTCATGGCTATTGCTTTTTGAAGGATGATTGGTAAATGACAGGCTTCATGTGCTTGGTACGGACAGTGTTCACTAGGATTTTTTCTCCCTCTGTCAGAAAATCCTGTTGAGTCTGATAATGTAAATGTGGCATTTTATTCTGAACAAAAGAGCAGGGAAATGAGCTATCTTGTCTAATCATTCAGTTGTTTAACACCGACTTCCAGTTTAGACTCAATTGGCTGGAAAGCACTTGACATGTGAAGTTAGTGCTGTTCGGAACGCGTGTTTGAGTAAATTTTAAAGTAAGTGACAGCTAAATTGTACCTAGGGAAATTACAAAGCCTTCAACACAGTTAATTTTTTGGGGAGGATTAGTTGTAATTGCAACACAAGTCTCCTTGAAGATTCCTTAGTATAGCAAATGAACAGAAAAACATTTAGCTCTTTCAAGAGCCCGTTCTCTTTTAACAGAATAATTTTTGTAAAGCTGATTGTACCTTGTTGAATTGACTTCCCTCTACACTAACATCTGCTTCAGATTTGTAGAGAGGGATTTGTTTTACTAGTCTACCCACCACCCCCACCCCAGAGAGTCCCTTTTTTCTTTCTACCTCTCTAGTGATTTCAGGTTTGAGAGCTTTTCAATCAGTAAGCCCCTTAGGTAAATTGCCACTTCACTAAAGCTTTATGCATAATGTTGCAGCACTTCATTCCAATTAAAATCAATATTTGGAGTCTTATTTTTAACAGGCAGACTCTCTGGTTGGGAGAGTTGTTTATTACAAGTAAAAGGGTTAGATTTACTGCTACATTCTTGAAGCAAGAGGGGAGTGGCTTGTTGAAATTGAAGGGGGATGTTAGATCCATGCACGTTATAGCCAGGCGTGCTACGGAGTGTGTTCTGCAAACACTCAGACATTTGAGTAATTTTGTCTCTTCAAATAGCTTTGTGTGAATAAAATTGCCCACACAAATATTTTGGAAGATTGTGCTGATAGTGTCTTGGACTTCATAGGAATCCTAAACAGAAACCAAATGAATCTAAAAATTTAGTACATCTTAACCCTAGCATCAAATCAGTTGAAAAATAATGCTGAAGTAGGACTCTTCTGGGATTACATAAGGGCCAAGCATAATACAGTGATGACTGAGGCTCCTTCTGTCATTCAAAAGGAATAGTATATCTTCTTTGTTGAAAGAACAAGTTTCAATGAGAGGGAAAAATACAGCTAATCTTTAAATGGAACAGGTATTAGCCCTGAACAGATAATATTTGTGAGTGATTTAAAGCTGTAGTATCTGCACAACTGAAAATTAATTATGGATCAACTGTGTTCACATTTTAAATGCTACTTTGTCCAGGCTGACACCAGAAGTCAGATTTTTCCAACATAGCTATGAGTATATGGGCTTTATTTCTTTGACTTGATCTATATTAATTAGATAGTAATTTTGGGCCTGGCTTTTAATGCAGTAGTGTAGTTTGGGAAGATAAAAGGGTGTTTTATGTGCATAAGTTTGTACAGAAAGATTGACAAATATTTTCAAATGTACGGCTGTTAGCTTCAAATCCTTATGTCTACATAGTGTTTCCTTAAAACAAGGAAAATTTTTTTGGTGCAGTTCTTTTTTTAAGTTAGGGAGTCATAACAAGAAGCATGTCAAAATGTTACTTGTGCTTGAAGTTTGAAGCCTACAATATGTTCCAGATTTTCATTGGGCTTTTCTAACAGAGTTGTGAAAAAAAAGTAGTAGAAAAGTAGTTGCTGGTACTTACTTGGAATTAATTGCAGTTTATGACAATTAAGAAGTACTGCAGATTGTTGAATAAATCGTGTTAACTCAAGTACAAGCATAAACTTGATTTTTTTGTAGTAGTAGTACAAACAATTTCTTTGTAGAGGCTGAACTTTTATACCTGTTGTCTTATAGCTGGTTGTTGCCAGTTCTATCATTTGTCTCTTTTGTAAATGCAGTTTTTCTAGTAAACTGTGGGTGACTGGTTGGTTGCTTCAGTGCAAAAGAATAAATAAACCAGATTTCGATAGATTCAAAACAAATATCTAGTAAATTAGTGTGTAGGATACTGACCTCCTTAAATGCAGACTTATTCAGGTGCCTTTGAGCAGTAAGTACCAGTAACAAGTACAATATTTCCATTTTTGTTATCTCAGTTCTTAGCTGACTTTTTTCTCAGCATATACAGTATTAATGCCTTCAGAAGTATACATTTAGAGACTATAAAACTCTTAATGTTCCTGTTTGAATGACATTCCAATTATTCATTTGTTTATTGATAGCTTTGACCTAAAAACAGTCACTTTAATCCTTTAGGAATACAGCCAAGACAATACTATGGCTGTTTGAGCATCAATCTGAAAAGCTGGATTTATCACTGAAAACTTGAATGTGTAAATGTTGTTGTGCCTCCTTAGAAATTGAGTAGTTTTCTGTAAAACTGTTTTTTTTTAGGTGTTAACTGAACTTGCATCTAAAGCAGGAGAAAAATAGTGATTATATAAAGCTTTCTATCTGTCTATAGTAACTACCATAGTATTTCTCTTTTATGACAGTAATCTAGCCTGCAACATCTACTTGCAGTTTTGAAATTAACCTGTAATTTAGTCTTCACCCCAAATGACAAAAATTCAAATGACTCCATGGGGTGCCAGAAGATGCACTGTAAACAGGGCTGCGTAAGGGGGTTAAGGTAGAAATCCATCATCTTAGGTTCATTTTCAGAAGCTTGTATTACTGAACAAAATTAATTCTTCTGTGTTTTACTCTTAAAATTTTTAAAATATTAGGCTAGATTAAGATAATATGTAGTCGTCTTTGAAAAAGCGAAGTTTGTGCTGCACAGGAAATTTAATGTGAGGAAAGGACATTTGAATTTGGCTTGTTTTAACATCTTAATTTGTTAAGGTTTAGTTCATCAATAATACAGTTGCTTCAGGAATGCAAAGTCATTATTTCAAGACAGTTTTATTATGGCCTTCAGGTGCTGCTGTTAAGTGAAGGGTTCTTGGGATTGGTTTTTTTGTTTGGTTGGTTGGGTTTTTTTTCCCTTGCCTACTTCCACCACTCTTTATTTGATAAGCTTTTTGAAATCTAGAATGCAGTCTTATTGACAGTTTGGCTACTTGCTACATTTTGTGTGTATCATCTTGGTTTGTTTAAAATTCACTTTAAGCTTCCTCTGCGAAGAATAACTTCACGCATTGTTTTACCAGTGTTTCAGTGGTTATGCTCTGTTGGTTTTGGTTTGATTTTTAGGTTGGGTGGTAATCCTTTGAAAAAGAGTCTGCAGCAGGTGATTTGGTTCTGTTAGTTGCACAGTGTAGAATGTTGATTTATATTTGTTGTTATTTTAAGTTCCAGATCTGATTGTTTTTATGGCTTTTCAGTTGTGCGTTTTAACTGTGTGTACTTCTGAATGTGTTAATACTATATATGTAGGGGGAAAAAAGTCAGCAAAGGACTGAGATAACAAAAAATGGAAATCTTGTTACTGGTACTTAACTGTTCAAAGGCTCCTGACTAAGTGCATTTAAGGAAGTCAGCAGTTGACACACTAATTTATTAGTGCCCTGGTTATATAGTAGTGCCATGGCTCTATGTGACATGGATAGGCCAACATAAAATACATTTTGGTACCTTAATATATTGTTGAATTAGTTGCAAAAGTCACATTTTTATTGCAGAAAATATGCATTGGATTCTGACCTTTATACAGAATGGAAAAACACTAGCCCTGCAATTCTGATGAAATGGAAATCAGCAGATGATTTAGAGCTAGTTTGTTAAGGTGTAGAACAAGTATAAAGCAATCTAAAGAGTTGTGGTTCACTTAGTTAACTCTTGAGATCTATAGTGAAATAGGAATGCTGTTGAAAAATTTTAAAGAGCTTAAAAATTGAAAATGTCTAAACAGAGATATTTGGAGGTAATATAATGTGCACAGTATTACTAACAAGAAAAATAGAACTCTTAAATACAAACTGAAATTTCCATGGAACTGGGGTTTTGTCACAATAGTACATAGCAGAACGTCAGAATTTTATTTCAAAAATCAAGTGTGTCCAATGATGAAGAGTATTTACACCTTTGGTTAATTTATAGTGAACAGTGGTCATGCAATCAAAAATTATATGACCAAGAAATTTAAGCGTAAATTTCTACTTCTGTTTCCATTTCTCTGTCTGTCAAGCATACATAGTATTTGCTTTGTAGGAAAACTTTACATGTTCTTTAAAAATAACTGTAGTGTGTTGGGGGGGGAAATACACTCTTGTATTACAGACTACTGAATGAGTTTTGCTTAAAATTTTCAAGACTAAAGTGGGTTTAGCATGCACTGCTCCTGCTTGGAAGGTTTGATTGTTTTTATTCTTGTTTTGCTTCATTCCACAAGGGATGACATGCCTGCAGCTCTGGAAGCTTTAGTCAACTGTTATAAGAAGTATGGTAAAACTCTTCAGCTTCATAACATCTACTGTAGACTGATAGAAAAAGGAGATGCTGATCTTCTGCAAAAGGGTTGGTTGCATGTAGTCAAATGCTGTCTGATTATATGGAATGTTTTCTGGATGCTTTTCTTCTATGATTTGCATATAATTTCTTTCATCTGAAGTAAAAAGGTGGTTTGTGTTTATATGTGTAACTTTAAAGCACTTAAATGATGCCTGTGTTCTTCAGGTTGAAAACTAACACTGATTTTTAAATGTAGAAGAATCATAATGCTTAGATAATACAGCACGAAGCTCTCAAAGATTAGTGCTAATACTTGTTCAAGCTGTTAAGAAACAACTTGAAAGTAACACAATACTAAAAACCAATACATCTGCTTTTCAAATCGTTGTGCAGTTAAGAAATCCTGTATCCTCGCTCTCTACAAGTAGAGAATGCTAGTATATAGTCTAACTATTTTGTTGAATGTAATTCAAAATATAGTGCAGATAAACAGGAAAACAATCAATTGCAAAGCTGCAACAAATTGTGTAATATGTTGTAATAATTTTTTATATTTCAAAATTTATTTCTTTATAGCTTATTCTTGGAGTTTTGTGATGCTTTGAAAATATTAGTATTAAAAATATCTGATTAATATATTAAAATGCTTCAGTATATTTAGTAAATTAATGAGTTTTATTGTCTCTTTAGTTTCAGATTTTATAAGCAGAGAATATGGTGACATGATGGCTCTTTATGATCTCTTCTTCGCTTTCTTGCAAACAGGAAAATACAGAGAGGCCAGGAAGGTCATTGAGGTGGGATTTTAAATGTAGTACTCTAGTTGTGGAGCTATTTAGACTCTTAATTAGAAACATTTAAAGTTTTTAACCTTTAATTAGACTTGTTCTAATTCATGTTAATAGAATTCAATCCCAATACTAAAAAAAAAATCTCGACCAGTTTTATTTTGTATAATTACAGTTCAGAAGAGAGACAGTCTTGTTATATATTGAAATTGTTTCCTCACTTTTCAAATTTGCTGTTATATATCAAAATGATATTTGCATATTAAATATTGGATTGTGGAACAATTAAAT